AGAGAGATTTCTGCTAAAGCTGTGTCAGCGAAACGGAAATTAAAAGAGAATTGCCCTTCCTCTCTTGTATAAAACTAACAGTACAGCAGGGAAATCCTTAACACACTGAATATTCTCTCAGGATCATCATTTATAATTTACAGATTGAAGAGAGCAATCTGGTTTGATATTTATTCTTTTATTAGTCTTTTATTATTCAACAAAAATAACACTTGGCGTCCTACTTGCTTTTATGTACAAACGACCGGTTTCAATAGACCGGCAAAATTTCTCATTTTATTAAAGCACTGAGGTTACGACAACTTCGAGTTAAACTGATTTCACGGGTTATCAAAGAGTGTAGCGATTCCCCTTTCCCAGGTGAGCGCCGACTCATTTCGCGTCCATATTCAGGAATGCTTGCGAACTCTTTACGCTTTCATTGCCTTTCCCCCGACATGTTTTGCACGGCGTTTTGTCATGCGAAACCTCCACGAAACATCCACGCAGCGCGCGAGGTAACTATATCCCGATTCTAAAAATAACTCGAGACGATTTACCTATGGAAGAGGGTGTGTGTGGGCGATGCATTCTCTGTCCCCTTTATCCTCTCTTATTTAAATGTGAATGCCACATTATGATGCAAATACAATATACAAAGAATCTTAACCCCGGGAGATTTGAATTGGGTACAACACTGAGTTAGCCGAACTGACCACTCCAGAAAATACCATAACATACCAAAATACTCTTTGTTTGTAACCCAAAAATTTTGCATAAGCATTATCTTCAGTTTCTCTTGGGAGTTAAAATGGCCCCAAGAGAAAGTGAAAACAATGCTTATGCAAAATTTTGGGGTGACAAACAAAGAGCATTATGGTATGTTATGGTGTTTCTGGAGTGGTCAATAAGTCTATTTGTTTTTCAGGGGTCAATTTAATAAAACTGTTACACGTGTAATTTACACGTGTAGCCATTGTTTTAGAGTCTGAGAACAATAGCTACCCCTGTAAATTTCACGTGTAAAAGTAGTTTTATTAAATTGACCCCAGGCCTATTATATAATCTACTGCGATCGAACAATATTGCTATTTTTGGGTGTCCAAAGAAGACTATTATCTCGATGTTAAATTTGTTTCACCCTTGGACTGTCAAATTATTTTTCTCTAAAATCACTCAACCTTTGCCTCAAAAGTCACATGAATGTGCCCTAAAGTTAACTGATCTAGCTTGATCTGTGGATTACAACTTTATTGTGTGATTTAAATTATGAATTCATTAACGGGAGCTTCGCTTTTAGCCCTGGCTAAATCTATTTAGAATACACTAAAACAGTGAGATAATTGAGCACAAAAATGATGATTTTTAACTCATTTACTGTTACCAAAGATTACAATTTTGGCGCGCAATGACCAAACGGCCGCGGCCGTCGCTTTTTCTTGCTGACAACTAGAACTTTTGAAGGCATTTGTTTAGCTCTTGAGGGGAAATTTCTCCAAAAGGAGTTGTGAATTCTTTTTGTATTTAAAATAATTCTATAAAAAAGGTTATTAAATTTAGTTTTAAGCTTATTTATGAACAAGTCAACTAAATAAAGTAATGCAAGACTTACGCTTATAATTTTCATTTGTAAACAAAAAACTTTTTCACCGGTTTTATCGATAAATTTAACTCAAAAAGACAAAGCTTTACCTGTTAAAACTTCCAAACTGAACTTCGTCACCTTCTTCGTGTATTTCGGGAATAGCTTGCTTGATTATTTGTGAAATTTCTTTGTTTGTTACGGCAGGAAACCGGGAAGGCATTTTGCTCGCAGTTTACGCGAGTTTGGCGACGCTAACTCTTAGGAACTGGAGGTGAATCAGTGAATAGTGCAGGATTCACTGACTGAGTAGCCAATCAGAGCGCGCGAAAAACACTATCCACTGTTTTGGTATATACTAACTAGTAATAATTGCAAATTAGGGGAGTGCGTTCGATGGGGGAGGGGGTAGGGGGTGCAAAACCTGATGGGCTTGTGATATTGAGAAATCAAAATCAAACACTTTTATCAATACGAATATCAGCAGCTGTCTTTATCAGTGTTATTGTTTATCCTCCCACTTTACAATTCGGTACTATTTCATTTTTCGTCAAAAATGCAAGGGCGTACTGTACTTTGTACATTTACTTGGCTAAACCTCTAAGTAAAGTACATGAAAGTAACAACAGGTCAAACACTGACTATGATCCCCAGGGTATTCCTTTGCACTCTAGGATGGTCAATAAATAATGTGAATAAAATTGGCTAAAAATTGGGATACAGAAAAATGAAAGTTATCTGAAAAGTTTAATCGTCGAGTATCACTTTAAACCCTTGTTGCGTCACAGCAGGCCAACACGACCCACCTCTTTCAACGCACCCGGAATTAGTGAGATGAAAACGTCAACGTTTCACTGTTCAACTTCTTGTATAATTTTCAAAAATGGTGACAAACAAAAGCAAATACAACGCTGTAAATAGCTTTTAAAAGCGAAAAGATGTAATTTGTAATAGAATTAAATATGGTCGATCTAAGCTGATCTTGCTTGAATCCATATTAAAAACAAATACAGTGTGCAGAACGCATTGTTATAATATCTACATATCCGATTATCTTAGAATGGAATTTTCCTATATCAAAAAAACTTAATTGAAAACTTTGAGATTGAGGCAAAAGGTGCTAGGCCGGTCCAAGATGGTGTCCAAACCATAAAAACGCATGGCATACAGAACGGTTACTACTTTATGTACGGTACACAAATAGTAAGCGTTCTCCTTCGTTGAACGCAAATAGATTTAGCCAGGGTCCACCAAGTCCACCAAGCCCTTGTATCTTTAGCTGTATCAATTGTTAAGTGTCTGTGCTATTTGGTGACCGACACTTGAACCAAATATGTTTTGTCTGATCCATTTGGGACTTGTATTTTTGGTGGTAACGGCCGCCCACAGTTTTCGTTCGCAGAGTTTAGAATGTGCAGCATATGATATGGCTAATAATAAACACCGAAGAGTTGAGCTATCGAATAGTGTTTTGCTGCAAACGTAAGGAACGTTTAGGTCTCTTCAAGGTAAAGAGCTTTCAGCAATGGTTTTCATTTGTTTATTAGGATCGCTTTGACCGTAACCTTAAATGCAAGGTGTTGACTGATCGTAATAAACGAAGTGTAATGTTGTCAGTGTTGTTGTGAAGTGTAAATCTGTTAATTCAGGTATGTACGCTCATATTTTTCAAGCTCTCTTGGAAAGACTTTACTTCCGATAAATTTGACACTTTCTCCAGTAATTTTTATTAGCAGCATAACTTCTTTAATCTTTCGATGTGCTCGCGCGGAAAAACGATGTTAACCTGTAAACTCGATCGATAGTCCAGCGCCATTGTTGCTAAATTCTTAAATTCTTAAACCGATGGTCGGTTTAAGAATTTACACAGTTGCAGTGACTGCCGCTTGCGTTTTGCAAGTTCAGTACCAAAGAAAAAAAACGATATGCGAAAAAAGCAATACTGCAAGTTCGCAATTTGATTGCCGAAATTCGCGTAATTTCGCTTATTTCGGCAAATTTCGTGTGCATTTCTTTTGCACAGTACTGTATCCCCTGACCACCACGCAAGGTGACCGCTTTGCAAGTTGTGACAACATCGTTTCTTAGTCCGAGACCACGTCTCTTCCTCCCCCCCATCCCCACCTCGCTGCGTGAGTGCAAGCACTCCCTCACTCGCGCTTCCTTCCCCCACCCCCCATACCTCGCAGCTCCAGGAGAGCTTGCTCGTAGGCTAATAAATATCTTGCAGCATACATGCGTCCGATATACGCCCGCCTTGGTAGGCTTGAAATTAAACGGGTTTTCCGTGACGCGTGATGGGTCCCAGATTATCAGCGTAATGCATGATCGGGCCCAAATTAACCGCCTGTTTTATTTGTTAGTTTTACCTCCATGCAATGCCTGGTTTCAGTGCAAGACTATTGAGAGTATATTTTCCTTGGAGGGCTTCAATAATAGGTTATTGTTTCGTTTCTTGTATGTTCCTCAATCTCTCTTCCACGGGTAGTTTTAGTTTTCAAGATCATTCCATTACTAATACTGTTATTATCAAACAAACATATTTGCTCGGCTAGTGATAATGTGTGTTATTGAAACCTCTTAAATTAAAGGTAAATGTTTGAAAGGACTTTTTCCGCATTGTAAAGTAGCAAGGGTGCGAAATAAAAGAAATAAGTTTATGTTATTATATTTCCCTAGATCAGTCAGCTTTCACAAACTTCTCAGTAAAGCTTCATGGGAGTTAGTTCAATAAGGTGTTGAGAGGGAGAAGACTAACATGCACCAACACATCTAAACTGAGAAAAATTTTATAGTGACACATATCATCTTGTCTTGAAACTAGGCAGCAAAAATATACAACGGCAGACCATGAAAGACACACCTTAATCTTAAACTGAAGTGAAGAACCGAAAATGTTAGTCTGAAAATATTATTGGTCTAAAAATAATTTCAGTGTTTTCAGCTGGCTTGTGATGCCATTTTTCAGAGGCAGGAAGTGTAGATTACGGTGGTGGAAATATATACCTTTTATTCAAAAAGGTGTTTTTGGGGTGTTCAGAAGGAAAATTAACTAAAACAGAGAAAAAGCAAGAAAAAGAAACGCACGGTAAAAATAATTTGTTTCTCGTTATTATTACTTTGTAGCGACTGAATGATACAAGATAATGTCTAGCTTGAATGACCAGAGACAAATCGTTGCAAGCAGTGGTTTCTTTAGGCCGGAAGTTACGCTACGAAAGGGAAAAAACCTACTGCCAGCAACCGTTTGCTTTTCTATCGGGCATGCACTTCCACGTGACGCCCACGTCAAAACGTCAAATGACATAATCTCTGTGAACTTGGATAAGGTTTCTAGGAATTCAAGAAACTACTTCTAAAGCAAAAGAATAGTAATCGCCGAGTACAAAGAACGTAATAATGATTAGTTCTTTTGTCCCCAGCTCGGGCTCCGGACCCG